ATCTCACCATCATCATCATCATCATCAAAATAATCATGTTCAGTGTACTTCGTAGTCCTCTCAATTAGTTGCCCCCCCTTTCGCTTAACTCCATTTTTGAACAATTGCGCTAAAACCTGCATTTTGGACCCTCGAACCACATAAAACTACCAGGCGCCAGGAGGCGCGCAACCCTAGTAGAAGTAGTAGCAGTAGTAGTAGTAGTAGTAGTAGTAGTAGTAGTAATAGTAGTAGTAGTAGTAGTAGCAGTAGTAGTAGTAGTAGTAGTAGTAGTAGTAGTAATAGCAGCAGCAGCAATTGCGTTGCTAGTCAGAACAAGTCCATGCACTTGCGTACAGATGTGAATTTACTTTAACTTCCGGATGTCATGATGCATCCTGGTGGTATGTACCGGCGATACAAAACTTCCACTACACAAGAACGTAAATGAGCGCAGCAATCATGAAACACTGAAACAGTAGCAGCCACTTGTGAAGCCTCGTTGCACGATGGGCATGGCCAGCACGGCCCATCCTGCAATGAAATCCTGCAGCATGTCGCAGAAATAAGTGGTTCTCGAAAGTATGATAGACTCGACTGTCATGTCAGTGCATCACGGTCACGACGGTCATGGTAAGGCGGACCGAAGCGCCCATCCGCTGATTATCCGACGCATACAACCAAGGAAGACTATTCCAAATGGCGTCCTACTCCGCGCGCCATCTTGATCGGCTGCCGAAGCGCTCGCCACATGTAGGCATAGCTCCACTCTAGGCTGGCCCTGAGCGGCCCTCGAATCTCGTGAGTTCTGGCTTCGCGGTGGCGGGCTCGGCTTAAGAAGGGCCTTTGTAACATAGTCGTCTCTTGAGCCGCTCTCGCTGCCGATCTGCGGTCACCTGCGGCCTGCTTTGCTGGCGGCTAGCGCAGCACAGCAGCGCGGCAACGCCCCATCTCCCAGCGAAGGGCACTCCGGTTTTGGCCTTTGCTTCACTGGCGCTTGGCTCCATCATGCTCCGCATGGCCAGGGCCAAATCCCGGCCAAGGCTGCCAGCGGACAGGCCGGCCTCGGTCGCTCGGTCGGTCGCTGGTTCCGATCAGGACCCAAAGTCCAGAGCCAAGCGGCGATAAACGGCAGCACGATGTCTCCCAAGCCTTCCTGACAAGGCGCTTCGACATGAAATCCAATGAAATCCAAATCCGTGCTGCAGCCTTGGAAAAAGTCGGCAAAGTCACCGGGCCTCCTCGAAGAGCGCCAGGAAGCCTGCCTGCGTGCCTTGAAGCTTCAAAACTCAACAGACAGGGAAGCATGGGATTTCCGACTTGCTCCTCTGCACAAGGCATTTCATGCATACAAGCAAGATCAGAGGAGTTCTACCCAGGCTTGGACAAAATCAAGCAAATACCAACCCATTGGATGCAAGTCCGATGAAACGCAGGTGTTGGCGACCTTGCACAGAAAAGACCAGCATCGCCAGAAGGACCGCGAAGGCCAGAGGCAGCACGTTGTCCACCAGGCCTCGAACTCCGACCTGGAATCTCAAGCGGGCGACAACCCAGACGAATAGCCACCTTCTCAGCCCCTTTTGAAGCGCTATCACAATCGGTCAGTGGAGTCCTAGCGAGGCGTTGCTTACACCGCCCCTAAACCCTCTACGCCGCACTTCCATTTTTCTCAATCCCGGCAAGAACCGGTGTGCTTAGCGGGCCCTGCCCCAGCAGACCCGCGTGGATTCGCATCGGCAGGCATTAAACGGATCGGGGACCTTTTGCCCAAGGCGATCCCTAAACCCTGCTTTCTTTGGCTCGGCCCTCTCTAGAGTGGGACCTAGGGCCTGGGATCTCTCATGTGGTCTTCTGGCCTTCCACAATCTTCCACACTTCTTCGCCCCCTTCGCTCTGTAAACTGCGAAACTCCAAAGCAGACCTCTCAACGGCCCAGGCGCCAAAGTTGCGGCTTCCAGGGCTAAGTCGCTGAGCCCCTCTTGCCACAGGAACTTCCTGCTTCCACAGAGTCGAGGGCTTAAAGTTGGGTTACAATACGTTACCAGACTCCGCACTGCGCTGAGCACGGCAGGAAGATGGCATGGCACTGAAGCTCCTGAACACGAAGCCGTCGAGGAAGCCTCAAGCTCAAGTCTGCACTTTGTCCCGATGCCAAGCGGCTTCTTAAGATGCTTGCAAGTTGCCTGGGCTGATCACAACTCGTGCCAAAGCTCGCTCGATTCCTGCAACAGCCGATGCTGTAGAAGGCCCCAAAGGCAGGAGACGCGCCTGGCTTCTTGGAGAAAGAGCCGAAGACGGAAGCGAAGGAGCCCTCTGTGTGCACCCAGTAGTCCAACATGCTTCTCAAGGCCACGTCCTTGGCGCTTTCAAAACTCTCCGGCTGCTCCCGCATCGGCTCCAACTCGCTCAGAGGCGCATTGCCGCGTCGAAGCAGCAGATCCACGATGAACTTGTCAAGGCCTCCGCAAGCTGCGCTATCGCTGCCTCTCGCCAGCGCTCTCTCGCTCTCCCGGGCCCTTTCGGATTCGAGCTCCTGTCTTAGCCTCACGAATGCAGCGAGTGTTTGCGCAAGCTCCTTGAAGCTGCAGAGCCCTCGATACTCAGAGACGCAGCAACAGAGCTGCAGAGATTGATTGTCAAGGCTGGATTTCTGGAACTTGCCGAGCAGTGTTTCATCTGGGCTTGTCATTCGAGCTGTGAGGGACAGCTGCGACGGGACCAAGTGTGAGATGCTCGGCTGAGCCCTGCCGGTGTGATCAGTTCCAGCATGCAGGGCGATACAGTACTCCACCGCTTGACAACTGCTCGCATGTCGCGACAGAATGCACCGAAAGGAAAGATGATCATGGATGATGTCATCTAGCCCCACCACCAGATTCCTAAATCTCGCTGTCGCTTCCGCTGCCTGGCTCAAGCAGCATTTCAGTGATGAAGAGCATGGGCTTCTCACGTTTGGCAATGCGTGCGAACCATTGCTGCATCTTCGGATCTCGGTTCAACCACCTGCAGGGTAGGCAAGAACGGATCAACACCTACATGGGTAAACACCACTGCTGCTGCCATCCGAGGTACGTGACAAATCGGTACACTCCAGGCTGCCGGAGCAGACGGATCACGAAGGCCCTGGCTTCCTGGAAGCCCAGGAAGTCCTCCACCTTGTCCTCAGCAACGCTCAGAAACAACTGCCTGTGGCAGTGCCTACAGGGATGCCGCCGGTCATGTAATGCATCAGAACCGGTCCGACCGTAGAAAGGTTCAGGGACCAAGTTTCTCGAAAGGGGTGAGAACCCTGCCATGTAGCAAGCAAGTGTTGCTGATGCGCATATCTGAAGTGACGCTCAGCGGCGAGTGTGAGCAACAAAACCCATCCATCTCTTGACATCCCTTGCCGGGGCGCGATGAATCTCGGCTGCAGAAGGAGTCGATGTGCAAAGCTGGCTCCGCGAGGGTCGTTCAGAAATCGACCGAGCCAAACGTCAATACCTTGAAATGTCAAAACAAGCCATGACATGAGGCCCAGGCACCGGCTGAAGAACCCATTAAAAGGGGATGCCCGTAGGCAGAAGAGGCTTCCTTCAGGGAGCTGGCCAGTTGCGAGCCGGGGCGCCGGGCACGGCGCAAAAGCGCATCGCCTCGTCAAGAGCTCCCAAAACACGGCATGGCATGGCTTTCTTCACTTTCACAGACCGAAAAAATCGAGAACCGCAGACATTGCCCGCGTGGGGCACCCAGAGGTCTGCCCCTGGCTCGAGGCAGGCTCGCGCCACCGCTGCAGGGAGCTGCTGCCGTCGCTTGTGGACGAGAGCCGCGCAGTCCACTGCCTGGATGGAGGGCAAGGAAAACGATGAGTCGCAAACCCAGCTTTTCTTCGTGGATGCGGCTTGCTGCCTGATTCATGAAAAATCCTTGGCACCCTGCTGCTGTCTCACGCACGACGAATGCCATCAAGACCGCGGTGGACTTGTGCTGGCACCAACGCCTGACACATGGGAGGTGAGAGGTTCCTCACCTCTTCAGGAGGTTCTGCTTCCAGCACTGCGGCACCCTTTGCCTGAGCATCTCTGGTGGGGCGAAGACGAGGAAGCGGCGAAGAAAGGAGCCCATCCCATGTCGGCCCACGATCCTCCGGAAGGCGATTGCCGGCAATGCTTCGAACCGCAGAAAGGGATTCGAAGTCCCTCGCCAAGCCTCAGGATGTGCTTTGGGGTCTCCGGATCCTCGCACACGTCGGCGAGGGCCGAGTCCAGGTAGAGAATCCTCCGCAGCCAAAGAAAACTGCCGGGCAAGCTCGGAAAGTGCAAAGCCGGGGGTTCTGCTCCGAGCTGCTGTGTAATTCCCCTCTCGCATCCAGGAGTACGGAGTAGCACCTGACTTGCAGAGAGTGTAAAAAGAATCTTCGACAGGCTGACATGGCCTTTGCACGATGCTGGGAGCACAACTACGACGAACTCCATCAGCTGCGGTTTCAGAAAGTCAGGGATCCTAATCTACACCCCCATCTAACCCTTGCATCACTACTTTAGGATCTTGCCCGAAGAAACCCCTATAGGTCCCAGGCCCCAGGCTTCAGAAACTCCCTGAACCCTAAGAAACCCTATACGTCCTAGGCCCCTCGGATTCAAAAAAAACCCAGAGAAAGTGAAAGGAGCCCAGCCGGGCGGCGGCCAGCGCGCGGGCCGAGAGCCGGTGCCGCAGCAGGAGCCCCAAGAAGCGGCCCGTCAGAAGCGGCCTCCGGGTTTTTCCAGGACTTTTTGGGGGATGTAGGACATTTAGGGTTTGAGGGTTTTAGGGTTTTAGGGTCTAGGGTTTAGGGTTTAGGGATTTAAGAAACTTTGGGGAGGTTTTTGCAGGGGGTTTCACATGTTCGAGGGTGTCTGCCCCGGGGGTTGCTCGTCTCCTTCGCAGATCTCAAGTGCCGGGTTTTAGGGCTTCTCGAGGATCCTTGAATCACGACTGATCGGAGTTTGGTAGAGGGCTGCGGGTGCATGCAATTTTTCAAAGATCTTATATGCAGAACCCTCACATCACGACTTCGTGAGCCCGGTCTGGGCAGACTGCTACCAGGCCCCCCGCTTTCGTTTGCATGCGAATTCTCCATCGTCTGTTTGACTTCGGCTTGCCGTCTGCAGATTCAGAGCATAGGTCGTTCTCTATGTTAGGGTCCCTTTTAGGGTCCACCTTACAACGGTGCCGTACTGTATTGGGGACCCAAAAAGGCCTAATTTAGAGAACTACCCACGTAGTGCTCCAGCATCGCAGGGCTTATGCAGATGATCTGCAGCGAAAGACTCCTCGGCAGTTTAACCCTGGACCAACCGCTGAAAGCAGGGACCGAAGGCTCAACCCCATGTTGATGCGGTACTATTTTTCCTTCATAATTACTCCATTTCGACTCCCGGAGCGGCTGTGAGAGGAGCTCGCTAAGCAGGGCTTCTGAACCCACCCTGGCCATGCTTCAAACATACGACTCTGCAAAGTCTTTTCCCTCGTATGCACAAGAAACCCTGGCGAAGATACTCTCGGGACCCTGGAAGAGCTCTCCCTGGCACGAAAACCCATCTTTCTTAAATTGAGAAATAACAGTGGGTTTGGGGGCGTTCGTCCTACCACGAGAATTGCGCAGGACAGTGACTTGCGGGACAAGGAGTTCCGAAGGAGAGACTCAGGATGGCAGCAGAACTAAAGCCAACGGACACTTGCTTCACAAGGGCTCCATTGATCTCCAGACCGGTGAACAGTGAGCGAAGCTGAAAGCTCTGAAGGCCCCTCTCAAGTTTCCAGCTTGATGCAAAGGACAGAGCGACTCGCCCCTCCTAATGAACACAAGCATTATTTGCTAGACCCCTCCTCAGCGCCAGTAACAGCAGGCGCCACTGCAACAGCCACGCGATGGCCCTGGCAGTTGGCTGCCAGCGCATGAGAGCAACGGCGGCCTCGGGCAGAAACCGGAGAAGAGCTAGAGTCTAGAGCAATCACAGGAAGTTACCGGCGTTGCACTGTAATTCTTCGGCTCCCAATGCCTCGCAGCCCTGCATCGTTAATCTAGCCACATACCACAAGGCTAGACTGACTGCCGGCTCATGTTGCATCTACAAGCTGATGGAGACCGTAGCACACGCACACACAACACAAATATACGTAAACATATACATATACATATACATATACATATACATATACATATACATATACATATACATGCACTGTTCTATCTGCATCTACATGTACACATGCAAAATGCAAACATACCTACTTATATGAATGCATGCATGCGTACATACGTACGTATGTACAAAAGCACCAAAGTACATGCATGCATACGTACATGCATGCATGCACATTTTGTATCTGTCCAACTCAAGGCACCGTTGGCTGCACACGTAGACAAGCAAGCTGATACATGGACAAATGGACAAAGAAGCAGACAGATTGACAAATGGATGCATACGGGCATGCATACAAAAGCAAACATACCTGCAGACATACATACGTACAAGTGTACAAAATATGTCAATGCGCCTCTCTTCATACATGAATGCCTGCACACACATGACCTTGTGCATCTGCAGGCGCATACATCTACACATACACATGCAGAGACACATGTGTGCATGCTTTAGCGCATGTGCATATGCATCTGTGTCTGCGCGATGCGTGCGTACATGTCAATGTGTGTATGCACATATGTGTGTATGTGCATCGGCACATGCGTGAGTACGCCTGCCTGCTTGCTTGCAATGTCCAAAGGTTTAACAAATCAGCGCATCAGATGAAAACATCTACACCAAATACATGTGTCAATCTGTATGTGCATGTGTGTTTGTTCATATACGTATGCATGTATGTATGTACGTACGTGCGTACGTATGTATGTATGTACATGCATTGTATGTACACACCGTACAACACATCTGCATGTGCACGTTGAGATAAAGATAGGAGTAGAGATAGAGATTATGAAAAAGACAGGGAAGAAACAGAGATAAAGAGAAAGGAAACCAGAGAAAGAAACAGAGAAACATAAAAACATAAAGATAGACGGAGAAATAAAAAGACCAGCACACGAGTATCAGCATAAAGCTTGCCAAAAGTGGTACCTCGCAGATACACAGGTGCGCGAAGTGGAGAATGCGTGCTTTCTTGCCTGCCACAGATTTCTTATAGGCCCTATAGGGTTTCACGATGAGTTTCTTGTAGGGTTTAATAAAGTAGGGCTTAGATGGGTTTAGGTCTGAGGGTTCTTAGGATTCAATGTTCAGGGGTTTTTAGGGTTGAGGGTTTAGAGCTCAGGGTTCACAGGATCAGGGTTTTGGGTGTAGGGATTAACGTTTAGGGTCTCAGATTTAGGGCTAGTCTTGCGGTTCGCGCTAGGATTTTGGCTTCAGGCATCCGCTTGCATGATCCGAGATGCAAGGCTATGATAAGGATGCCAATTAGGTCTAGGTTACATGTATATACCTCTACTGAATCCCTGAATGAACCCTAAACCTCAGCCCTAAACCCCAAACGTCTCAGGACTCAGTGCTGGAAGGCTTAATGTTTGGATTCCCGAACTGCATGAAGAGCTACGGTGTTTACATTTTTGTCGAAGGATTTAGGGTTTCGGGCTAGGGTCTTTAGCATAGCCGGCCTTAAGATGGGGGAGTAGTAGCTGATCCGGGGGTGGTCTTGATCAGCGGGCTACATCTAAGTTTCCGAGAATCCCCTCAATCGTAAGACTACCCGTGTTCCAATTGTTCGATTTGAACAAGGAGCTCCAAAAACGGCCTTAAGAAGCCCGAAAATCTTACAATCCAGGCTCTGAAAACTGCGCTGAAATCTGAAAGTATGCCCTAGACCTAAACCCCGGCGTCTACCCGTTTAACAGCTGAACGTCGGAGCCGCGCTATCTCAAGCCCGCCGGCCATGGAAATGGCTAGTGCGGTGAAGGCACTTTTGCATCAAGCACGCAAGCAAGGGGGGTGTGACTCGACGTGAAACACAACGACCGGACAAGGAGTCGAAACTCGCATGCAGAACCGTATAAAATGCTGTTGTGCACGGCCTCCCCAGAACGAAATCAAGCCTACTGCCCTGTTCACATATCCTCTGCCAACTCAGGGACTGAGCTACCTAAATCTTTGAAGGAGAAGTGGCACGTCCGCCGGTCGCAGCCGAGTCTCGCAACATTAAATTAATGCACGCCGTTGTCACACGGGTGCGAGGATCAATGAACACCCGCGAGGCAGGGCCAGAAAACTTCGAGGCTTAGCGTCCGAAAGAGCCGATAGCTACTACGGCAAACTACAGCCACACGGACTTTGGAAGCCTCACGCCACTGATCTCCCTACTGGCTGCGTTGATGGAGGCCATCTGTGTCTGCACATCTTCGAGGAAGCTGTCACAAACAGGGCTATGTCGGATACACTGAATCATTTGCTTCAAGCTCATGCGAGACAGGAGCCTGTGCAAATTCCTCATGGTCCTCATTCTCTTGGGAGGTGAAAAATCTGGACTTGGGTATTTCTCCATCTCCCAGTGGATCTGCTGCTGCAGGTAGAAAGACTCCGTAACCACCCCATCCAGAGAAGCACGCTCGAAGACCTGCTGCAGAAGCAACTGCAACGCATCTGCGCCGGCTAGGCTCTGCATAGCTGCTCTCTGGTTCTTGTCGGGCTTCACCTTTTCCTTGCTCGACGTGTGGGACTCGTCCATGCTTCTGGCCGGCCGAACTGACCTTGGGTTCTCTTTGGGGCATATTCTACTCGCACCATAAGCAAACAGAATGAGGAAAAAACATAAGGAATCTGTTAAAGCCCTGCAGCCATGAAGCCTGCTGCACGGGTGAAACGGCTCTCGTAATGGCGGCCACTCTCAGCACCACAGACCCTGCACGAAGCTGTAACCGGCCGTGAACCCCAGCGAGCCCACTGCCCAACAAGGGAGGCTCCTTCACGACGAGGCAATCGGAAGGGATGCTGAAGTCTGCTACGACTACTCGGTGATCGAAGCCTACACGGCTGGCAGGGACCAAAGCAAGCAGAGTCGGTGCCTAGCTCCTGAAGGTAATTCGGATCTGAAGCTGGCCAGAGTCTCATGCAGCACCAGCGGGTGTGACATCGAACATCTACATACACGCAAATCGGATGCTAACAATATCGAACAGACACTAATGAACGATGGGTAGTATATTGCAATCTCGGTCTTGTCCGCAAGCAGCACACACCAGCTTCCTAGCTGCTCGTTGTGTTCCTTCACGCGTTGGATCAACAACCTACGCACGACGCTTGAGCACCTCTTGGCCACAATTGGTGCCTCCAGATGCTTGCCGCAACCTGAGATCGAAACGCGTTCCACAAAATAAAACCTCAATTCCGTTTGGCTACCCCCCCCCAATAAAGGCCTAAACCCTTTCTTCGAACATATTCGCCTGCTGCAAGCGGGCCCTGCGGTAGCTGGTCGGGTTTTCGGCAACGATTTCAGTCTGCTGTAGCTTGGGGAAGCCTTCGCTGCACAGTCGTACAATACTTCGTGTAAACAACTTTTCTCCAGAAAGAGCATCGTCGTGCCCGGTGGAAAACCCAGTTGTGACGTGGGAACAACTCTTCTTCCAGGAAAGAGGCTGTACTGACATTACCCAACAGTTTGCATTGCCGCTACTTTCAAGGTAAGCACTTCGCCCCCTTCGAAGCGCTCGAAAGCTCCAAACTCCAAACCTTAAAGCGAACCCTGAAGAGCTCCCCGACCTTGCAACGCTAGGCACTTCGGGCAAGACCTCCTTGTCAGTGTCGCTTCGACTGCTCGCTGGAGACTCGGGTGGGCTCTCGCCTCGAAGCTGGCTTGTGGGTTTAAGTTTATTTGCCTTCGATGGTTAGGGAATGGAGTGAATTACACACCGCTGTATGTTGGGGTGTGATAGCAAAGGTCCTAGGCCCCGGCCGCACAGAATAAATGGCTCCATGTTGTGCAAGACTGGATTCATACATATATACATACAGGCAGATAGATAGATAGATAGATAGATAGATATTATATATATATATATATACATTTTCATTCGACATGTGCGTTCAGTCGTTCGTAGGTACTTTCTCGTACTCATCTATGTATTTATGTGTTGGACTGTCTATTTAGTTCTAGATCTGCATAGCTGGGTATACCGGCATACAGGTATACAGGCACATAGATATGTAGATAGATATATAGGCATTAGGACAATTCCCAGGCACCTAAGATGTTGGGATATTCAACTCTAGGTATACGGGTGTATGGTGGCAACTGTAAAACCATGCATATGGATAAATATATCATGTAGACTGGAGAGTACATGGCCGCTGCTTGTCGTCAGGGAGCCAAGTAATCGATCCATATCCGACTCTGTCATCTTGTCGGACAGGTTTCTCGCAGCCCGCGCGACTTGCAAGGTACCTTGTGAAACGGCTAAACTTGTCTAAACCGTTTGCGAAATGCAATGTGCCTTGCTCAACGTATGAGGCTGACTGTCAGCAGAACTTCCAATTTCGTCTCAAGACGTGGCACTGAGCGATTCCGGATCGTCTGACTCGAAGAGCAGCGCGCTCCAGCGGGACAGCACCCGGCTGCGGCGGACGGCACGCCTGCAGGATGTTCGTGGAGTGCACGTGCACACTTGGAGGCTAAGGGCTCCTGTCGTGTGCCTGAAGCCGTCTCGCCGAGGACGTTGGCAGGCCTCCATGAACTCGTCGAAGCTGATTTCGCCTGAGCGCATTGCTCGAGCGCTCGGCCACCCCGGGCCCCCCATCACCCCCGCCGTCGCCGGTCTTGTCGAGCTCCGAGACGATTTGCGTTACATCGCCTCGGTCCGGCAACCAACCAAGCGAGGCAAACCTGCACAACTCGTGTGCCGAGCCACTCAGCTGCATGTTGATGCCTCGAACGGAGTTCGGAATCATGGGCACGTGAGGCTGTGTGATGTCTACACGATCGACGCCCTGCGCCAAAGCTTCCGCAGAAACCAAGACTATCAAGAGTCCGTTCATCACGTCATGCAACACCCGGCCCAAGCCAAAACCGGCCTAGGACCCGCATCGCCACAAGCAGCTCTTTGGCTGAAATGGCACCATTCTCGTCCTGCCAGGAAACGGCAAAAGCACATGAAGCTCTACCGCGCTCTGCTAGACGCTTCCCCGTCTCCAGGTCTGCCAGCTGGAAGAAAAAAGGCTCGCGCAGCTGCTCCATGCCTTTGGGGCGCGCCGTGCCGCGCAGAGCAAAGTCTCTCCAAGGAAACAAACTCCCCTGGCATTTTCTTCCCAGACACTCTGCGTCAACCCGGGTGTGGGCAAGATCTGGGACTTGCCCGCTGCCCGGCGCAGCATGGGGGCGAACCTGCGAAGGCTCGGGAGCGGAGAGGAGAAACCCTCCGACGAGTCATTCTGGTCCTCCTCTCGGCACGACGGCCCATCAGGAGAGGCGCCGGAATCAGCAGAAGGGGCCAGCGCTGCGAGAGGAAGGGCGGCCAGCGCTGTACGCGCTCCGGCTCTCGCCTGCCGTTCCACTGCGCATGGCACAAGTTGCTGGCAATCAACAAGTTCAGAGCAGCCGCAGCTGAAGCCGCGACAGAAGCCGTGGTTCCAAACGCAAGCAGTCGCATCGACCGCATGGCTCTTCACATACTGTAGACTGTCTTCATCACCACAACCCTGTTGGTGCTCAGAGTCCACGAAAACCTATTCACAGCACTAGCAAAACGAAAGTGGGAGACCAAAATACATGCAAGCCCAAGAACAGCAAAGAGGATGAGTCGCAGCATTGAGATGCTTAGTACCGACAGGATCAGTGCTGAAGCGATAGTGAGAAACCACTGCGTTGGAAGACCAGGAATGGTCGTCTTCATCGTCGTCGCAACTATCCTGCTACGTGTTTTCCCGTCATCGCCACCGCCAGATAGCTACATGCAGTCACTCCGAAGGTGTTTTTGTCGTAACTGCTGTTCTTCTGCTCTGCCCAGCTCATTCGTCCGGTTCCGCCATACAAATGAGCTCCAATTGACACATGCAGGATGAAACCCCTGCCTTGGCGTGCTGCGAGCTCCAGAAATCAGGGGCTCTGGCACACATGGCTGCCATGGCGCCAAATACATTCGAATTCACCCTGCTGGGGCTGTGCAGTGATTCAGCAAATTTGGGACTTGGGTTTTGTGGCAATGCAGCTGGGTCGGCAGTTGCCGTGTTTCTGGCTCGGCGCCACGGGTATCCGGCAACATCCCTTTGGGTGCTCAAAGCGAGAATTTGCTATGGTTGCCATAACCACACACGCAACAACTAGCATTGCTACTACCAATGAAATTACGCATCCTCTTGCCGCTACTATTAATCGAAGCGACGACGACGACGACGACGAGTTTTGTTCCTGTCCTCAACCGGATCGCCACCATCGTGTTCCTAGCAACTGACTTTGAAGCTGGGAGTCCATGGGTCGGCTCAGCACTGATGACACCCTGTGAATGGGCGCAACTGTGTAACCTTCCAGCATTCCGAGCAATCAGCTGGGCACCTGCTGCTTCAATTGCAAGCTCCATTTTTTCCGTGCTGGCGGCTAGCGCGGCTTGGGTGACAGGTGCTGGTACTTCTGCCGATAGTACTCCGTCTGGCAGTAAGTCTCCTGAGCAACTTCATCAAGTGCGGTCGAGACACGAAGTAAAGACACGTGCATGCCCCGTCCTTGCAGTAGACCACATCGCAATGGTAGTTGCCCTGTGCACACGCAAGCTTGACAAAACTCTCCACCTGGTCACTGGTGTTGAAGTGGGTATACCTCGGGTGTGTCTTCTTGACCAACGAACTCAACGAGCTCAACTTGCCTCCCTCCAGAATCAACGTCACGAGGCATCACATCTGTTCAGAGAAGCTGCGAGTCCACGTGCCGCGGACTGACAACCATCGAAATGTTGGTCGGGGCTGCACTGAAGCCTGCCAAAGCGGCGCAGGCTTTCGATACATGGACTCAAAGAACCTCCCGGCCTACACTCTGCCAGCTATTCGGCTCCGGGAAGATTTGGTTGCCTGAGCCGGAACACTGCAACGTCACAGTGGTCCGCCCAGTGTGTGCCTTAAGAGGCCCTCGATAGCTCTGGCGAGCAGCACATTTCGATAGCTTCTTCGCGAGTTGTTCTGCTGGTCACCTCCTCGTTCTGGCAGTGGCCCCAGAGGAAGCAGTAGCTCGCATCGAGCTCATCAAGCGGGTGGTTCAAAACCTGAGCCGCCGAGAAATGGAGACTTGAGATGACAATCAACCGAGGGCGCATCTCAACCCAGAGCCAGGCGGCGGAATACCGGAACTGCACTTGTGCACTGGTCTTCAGGTCGCCCTGGGCCAAGGCCACAGCCAAAAGTGATAAGCCGGAGCCCTGCCCTGGCCTTGGCCACGCACTCCTTCACCACGAGGTCCCAGTAAATAGGGTTGGCGAAGCACCAGGACCTCTCGTTGGGCTGTCCCGGCCTGAGCCATTCTCCATGGGCCCTTTCTTCCGAAAAAGAGGCAGCCGGCGCTCAAACAAATTCTCAGTTCATTCCATCACGCCTACGCAGATACATGTACTGATGTTTGTAAAGAGGGGCCACGCAACCTGCTCCAGCACAAGCCTGTGATGAATTGAGCCAAAGTGCGTTTCGACCACTTGATGCCACAAACGAAGCTTCTCCTGCATAACCTCCTCTGTCGACGGAGCCTCACCTGGCACATGAGCACGTCGCCATCTTTTGCAAGCCACTTCGGTCTCTGGCTAGTGCCACATGCCGCTACCGCTGCACCAGGGTCAGGACAGGTCTTACGAGCATCCAAACGGCCTGCACTGTTCCGGCAGTCGATCTTGTCGCCACACAGCCACGGATACTCCGAGCAGAAGACCTGCAGAGCACTGAGAAGACCACCGAAACTGCAGAAACATCCGATCTGGAATCGGAAGTCGCTGCAAGACTTATTACCGCTGGCCGCACGAATGTCATCCTTCTGGCTCCACGTGCCTGACTGAAAGATGCAGGTGGCGCTTGATGGACCAGAGGGACGGCCATGGTCCCGGCAAGGAGCAGGGCCTCGTATGAAAGGGCTCCGGGGTTCGGGGCCTTGGCGCTTCTGTGCCTTCGGGGCCCTCGGGGTCATAGATTCCAAGGAGTCCGAGCATAGGTGGTACGCAGCATGGGCCCGTCTGAAGCATGCAGAATCTTGCCTGCCACCACAACATGCTCCAAGCTGCAGCTCGCACGACCATGGCTGCAAAAGCTACGTCGAGTAATTACCACTTCCGTAAAGTCTGTAACGAATCTCCACAAATCAAGACAGTGATAGTGTCAAGCAGACTAAAGCAAAATCGCTGCACCCTACGTAGACGACAAACGCATCAGATCTTCGTCTGCTCTATGGCTCTATGAGGATGTTGTATCGTTCGGCTGAGGGGTTTACCAGCCTTGAGCCGACAAGCCGCAAACATCCGCAAACCCATGATACTTCGATGTGCACCGGGCTCTGTCAATGCTGCACAGCTCTGGCGACAAGCCTGAAGAATCCATGGCAGCCAGTGTACCAGCGCTCACCACTCCCTCGCTCCCCCCTCCGCCCCACCCTTTTCAGAACCTTGAAAGCCGGAAGGAGCCCAAGGACTGGTCCTACGCACGGCACTGAAGGCTTCAGTACAGACTCCTACGCTGGCCGCAAGCTCAGCCTTTGCCTTGCAGCTCGTTCACCTTGGCATCCCAACTGCAAGCTACGGAAGCGAAATGGAAGCCGATGACCTGAAACACTTGGGACATTGGGACAGCCGCTTTGCGTCGGAGCTGGTTCACTTCATCGGCGAGGGCGCCCTGCAGCGCTAGGACTATCTCGTGCAGCATGATTCGTGGACTCCATCTTCGTGTTCCCGCTGGATGCTTGGCAGCAACTTGTCCTTTGCTCTTACGAAATCACACTTTGGGAACTCTCAGTCTCCAGTCAACCTGACATGCAGGAGGCGCAAGACTTCTTGCACAAGGTCCCTTTGCAATGCGGCGGAGGACGACCTGTCCTCTATGCCTATGCCATAGGACTCGGCTTTCCTTATACCTTGGCTTACTTACGCCCCCCCCCCCCCCCCCCC